GTTGCATAGAAAAGCTAATGTAAGAATCCGTTGTTATGATGACAAGAAATACAGCTATATACTTCTTTTCTAATTTCAATCAGAACGTTCCACTTAAAATAATTTGTTGCAGGAAAATGACTAAGATGCCAAATGTTTATAAAAAAACGAAATACTTTTTGAGCAAATAAAAATATCTTAAGACATTTGAGTGTTACAAGTAGATGATTATAATATAGTTATAGGAAAAGTATAGAAGTGGGTCAAAAATACAGCCAAATAAATTATAATAATTCAAGATGAATAAAAAGTGTGGGAAGGTGATATGATAGAGGCCCATATTTAATGTCAGCCCACTTTGTAGACTCTTACCTTTTCCAATTTCGTCCGGTGAATTTTGCTTTGGGATTTGCTGCTTATTGACAGGTCAAGAGATTGATACTCACCATGTGGTAATGAGCTTGAATCGACAGGATCCGGGAATTCACCAGGCGAACTTGGGTCCTTGCAAAGGTGAGAATAAGAAGAATAGTTATAAGATGAAACAGCTCTTTGTTCCGAAGAGATCGGATCGATGTCCCGATTTGGCACCGGCCTAGGGAATTCAGTTTTAGAAGAGGCTATGTTAACCGCTCTCCGATTACGTCCAGACTTAGGGACTATGGACTTGGGCCGTTCCGAAATCTTGCGTTCGGAGTTAAATTCAGATGTATTTTCAGCGTTCAAGGTCTTCAGATCACTAGAAGTGCAAGGGAACTTAGAGGGTTTTTGAGTCGGCTCCTCTTTTCGAATAGCCTCTTTTGATTTACGCTTTTTCTCATCTGGATAAGAATTTCCAGGCTTAAGGGCAGCCTCGCCAGACTGTTTCTAGAGCCAAAAAAATGTTGAGACAAATATCATCAAATAGTTCAAAAAATCTACTAATGCTAAATGCATGGATTAAATGATGCAGTCACATCCAGTAATGAGAGGTCGAACCTTTTTCTTTGGACAAAGTTTGTTTGTGGTTGATTTTGCACTATGGGAGATTGGGCCGATAAGTCCATCAAGAGCGATATTCAATTGATGGTGGGGATCGTCTGGGTTTGAGTCATCTGGGGAGTCATGATCCATCAAGGTACCCTGGAGATTGTAAAGGAAATAATATAGCGAAGTTAAGCATAGTCTTAGAGTGAAATGAAAGCATGTAAATTAGTAGTCGAAAGAATAAAGTTAATATATCAGTTTAATTGAAAATATGAAGAATAAGATTATGTGGCTTCTGGTATGGTCGCAGT